TTCTTGTACAAGTTTATTCTTTACTTTCTTATAAAAACTATACTTCTCTGATATACTATGATCAGAGGTATTAAACTGTCTGATAATTTCATATTTTATAATTATAAGTTTTTTAATTGTTTCTTCTTATAATTGTTCTCAGTGATAGTAATAAATATCTCAGTTTAAGTTGAACTTTCACTTCATTCTTATCTCTGTTAATGAAATTATCAGAATATTATACATCATCAGTGTAATAGTTTAATATATACTCTTAATAATTTTTCATAACTCTAGAATTGATTTAACATGTAAATTTGTCAGATTATCTTGAAGATAGCAGTTAAATTCAGTTTTATAACTATATAGTTTTATCTGATTTTCAGTTATAATCAATGTATATAAGTTCTGTTTCAAAGTTAGTATTATAGTTCTATATAATATGAAGTATTATCAAAGATTATTACTTATTAGAGAATTATATTTCACTGTCTTTATATCTCTAATATCTACTTAATCAAATCTCTGATAGTTGACATTGTAGTAGTCTCAGACTAATTTAATATATAAGTCTCATTTCTTCTCTATTCAATCTTGAGAAGTGTAGATATTAACTTAATAAAAGAGATCTAGTAGAGCTGCTACAGTATAGTACTCTGTAAAAGAGTGTTCAGTTTTACTGTAGTAATATATCAGTTTATTTCTTACAGTAATAATAGTCTGCACTATAGTATTATCTCAGACTGAATTTCTTTTTGAGTGATTCAACTGCTTCTTAAGATGAGTAAATAAACTGTTATACATTTATCAGACTGACTGCAGTATTGATATATAAGTGATTGAAACTATCTTAATTATCTTATAAAACTGAAACAGTAAATTAATCACATATTTTAACTGAGTTCACTCTATATTAGAAAGTTTCAATATCTGAATCTTTTTCTGATTAGAGTGTTATACTCAATGATTAATCATCTGACATAATTAAAGAGTCTGAATAGTTATCTTATATATTAAACTTTATCATATTCTAACATTCTGTATCATATTCAGTGATGTGAGTCACATCATGTGACTGATTTATTTATTTATTAAATATTATAAAATCATTGTTATTATTTAGAGAAGATATAAATCATATTAATAATGTTTCAAATCTGTGATATTTAAATTATTAGTCAATCTATTCAAAATTAATAGTAGTATTATTAAAAAACATTATTAAAAAGCAATATTAAAATTATTATTAAAAAATATTATCTTTTACAGAGTAAATATAAAGTTAGTTAAGTAATCACTTTTATTTTATTCTTATTTCAAGAATCAGTCA